TCCTCCCATGCCCGCCAGAGTGAGGCCTCGTGGGCCCCGCGTCGCTCGAAAAAGGCCCTGGAGCTCAGCTTTCACGGTTACGGAGAACCAGAGTAGGGGGCGTTGATACAGATCAATTTTCACAGCCTCCTTTGATCATATTTACCAAGGGTATGAATCATTTTGAGCACAACTGTATATATACACACACACACACACACATATATAATATGAGCTGCCCTCGACTAAAGATTTGTCTGGTCGACTAGTAGTTGCTCATTTGAAGCATTAGTCGACTAAATCGCAGGTTTATTAAACTATTTCAATCATAATGCGCCTTTTATTGCCTACATTGCCTAATAAGCACTCAAGTGCATGCATTAGGCTGCTGTCAATTTATTGATCCAATATATTGACAGATAACTGTTTACCAAATGTGACCGTTGAAGAGATTGTGTAGGAGAACTGAATTTTGTGTCAGCATGTGAGTGCTGAATTCAGTTCTTTTGCACAGATGATTGTTTATAACGTATCAAAAATGTTCCTCTAATTTCTCATTCACCTATGTTTCTTTATAGCTGGAACGTGTCAATAACTTTAAAGGGTCATGAAACCCCAGACTACTTTTTCTGAGATTTTAGCAGAGGTGTTTGTGTTGCACATCACAGAAGACAATGTTAGCATCCGATAATTTTAACTGTTGGAGAAAACTGATTAATTTTAAGCTTTTTTGCGCCCACTTTTTTTAGCATTTTTTAAAACTGTGGTGGGAACTAACCAGTGCTGAAACGGGGTTTCATGACTCTTTAAGCAGTCCTGCATTTTGTGGATACATTTACATAATGCAGTATAAAATATATATCTATAACGAATTAAACTTGTCACCAGATTATATATTGTCATACTGTATATATCATCAGCCCTACTCTACTCCTCCCCTGAAATGCACAGCAAATCAACAAAAAATGTCTAAAAAATAAAATGTGTTTACCTGAGGCTTGACCTTAAACCAATTTAGATGCTTTGGTACAACCTGGAGAGGGCTGTCATATTGAGACACCCCAAGAGGTCTCAAGAGTTTCTTTTTTAACCTCAATGTATTGGTATTGCAAAACCACCAGTTTTTATTTTGGATTTTATTTGGTTTGACCAAGGGGGCCGTATTTGTGTCATAGCCCCCAACAGATTTTCGGTTATTGAAGTTTCTATCTCAGCATAGAATCTGAAATCGAAATAATTATGATGTCATGATTCTCCTCACCACGACCCTTAACATGCATCATCATCGTATGCAATTAAGGACGTGTGTTTGGAACAACTCATGTCTGTTCATCAATCACAAGAGCAATAATGCTGTTGGATGTCTAGCATCAAACTCGGATGGTGTTGATGTAAAGAAACTGCACCACCAAAAGCTCTGTATAGCCTTCTTAGAGATCCAAACATTAAATATGCACGGCTAAAATTGATTTTTATTGACGTGCATGAGCGACCAAAAGATAAAGCTTTTTGTTTTTGTGAATTATTCTAAACATGCTGAAGATACAGCAGTGCCAAGCATTTTGTTCTCAGGTGCAATGCAGGTATATCACAGAGTGCTGCTAATAAAATCAGTACATACCGTACATGCAGTGTCTTTTGTAATAAGACAAGTAATAATAGTACTTTTATAACAATATACAGAAAATTAAGCATTTAAGCAAGCAAAAGCAATTACCGCGCTGAAACAGACTCTTGCAATCAGTGTGACTTATTTTGATTTCTTCTGCCACAGCCTCAAACATGTATGCCTGTATCACACTTGCCTTGTCAAGCACTTGCCATCTGGAGTATCAAAACACATGACATGCTGTAATGGAGGTGTGGATACAGTGCAATGAAGTTAGCCAGTCACAGTCATTACACAGGCATTACTTCTGTTTCTGCAAGAGGTAACGCCCCTTGAAATTGAGGAAACTGTGATACACTACCATTCAAAAGTATAGGATAAGAGACGATGAGACGATATAAAAGATGTTTCTTTTATATCTTCTTGTGCAAAAAAAACAAACAAAAAAAAACATCCTAATAACAGCTGTGCAGTATATTTACAATTACTTTTCAGCCTTAGTGACAAGTTATCTGTAGTTAATGTGTGGGGAGAAACTCAAAATTCTTAACAGGTTTCATGGAATTCACTATATTATAGAAATACATGTACTTACAGGTGCAGCAGGGAAATGATCAGACAGCTCATAAGGCTCTTCAGGAACCCACTGCCTGTGCTCCAAACACCACAGGACCTGCACAGGCAAGCAAAAAATTATAAGGTACAACAGCATATTAGCTACCACCTAAATCGTCTACATTACTGTATTAAATACACTTTAGAAAAAAAAACATATTAAAAGCAGAAATGCACACAAAGCTATACACACCCATTCAAAGGAGAGGATCCAGCAGCCACGTGCAATGCCTAACAAGATATTAAGGGTCCGTCGTGGGCTGCCGGACACCACATGAGTGGTGCTTTCACACACATTATCAACCACTGTAAAACCACCCAGATTTCTGACCAGCTGGAAGACTACCTCCTGCTTCCTAAATACAAATGCAAAACATACAAATATCATAAACTCCATGTTTGAACAAAAGGTTTGAACCACAAATATCATAAACTCCATGTTTGAACCATAAGACACGCAAATAATATTTTCACTGATGTCTGTTCAGAACTTTATCCAAAAATCTGCATACCCACATAGTATTTCTAGCAAAAATAACTATATTTTAATGTAAAAACATTACTGTAATATATAATTACTCACAAAATGATGTATATTTTTGGTGATATTCTTACTTTAGGTCAGAGTCCTGCATGTGGGTGGATAAAGATTGGTAAAACCACTAAATATTTGATGTAATAAGTGACGAGGGCAAAATAGCACAGTCATTTGCAGTGTGTGTGTGGGTAAGGAATCAATAGGCTATGTGTCGACTGTGGGTCAAATAGCCAATGCTGTTTTTGAAATTGTTAAATTATTATTTATTTTAAATAAATATAATTTTATTCACACCTTTCATATATTTCAAATGGCTATCGTCACTGACTGTGTCATTTTAAGAAAGCAAGATAATTCTGTAGGCTATATTCGGAATAGGTAGTGATTTATTTAATTTTAAAAATAATTTTACAAATAATTATTATTTTATTTTGATCAACAGTATAAAGTTAAACAAACAAACTATAAATAAATAAATAAAATAAAATAAAATGGTATGGGTCAATAGAATACAACTGAACCCATTTCTGATTATTTCTTGTTCAAAATAGTCTACATAATAAATAAGAATCAGTGTTGACAGTTTAATTAAATAGCCTATATTGAGAGTGCTATTTTATGCTGTAGACTTTTATTTATGCACTTTGCAATCAATACAGAGCTTTCTAGCGCCAGAAAATAAAGGTTCTACAGTACAGTGAAAATTTAATCCTAATTACATTTTGTAATCCTCTCATCCTAATTTCTTCTGGTTTCGTGTATATTTAAGATAGAGCTTTCACATTTACAATCCAATAAGGTAGTCTGTTTAGATTTCAGCAAACCTTAAGTACTGCCACAGAAGCAAACAAAGAGCGAAATTATGGTTTCTATGAATTGGTCACTGAATCATTGATTAAACTGATTTGTTCAAAAATGCAGATTCACTGAGCAACAAAAACACTGCTGTGTTTGTTTGAAGATGGACCGCAAATCAGCTGATACAAAAATATGCAAGACAATGCTGGCAAAATTTATGGATTTCGTGTCGATATACGAAACGGTTTTCTTTTAACGCATCAACGAATTTGCCTGAAAGGTGCCAAACTGCATCTGAGGCTATATCTCTGCAAAGCTTTGGCATATTTACACCAAACTTTGTATGTGCCATTGTCACCTCAAACTGACCACGCCACATAAATTTGATAACAGCGCCACCTATTGGTCAAGAGTGATAAACCATTCATTAATCATTAATTATGAAATTTCCAAAAATGCTAATCATTTTTGATTGCATTAGCCTATTATAATGAAATTGGTCTCAAAATATTCCTTGGGTCATGCTGACAACATAGATACCAATTATTCCATAGTCGGCTGTACTTCCTGTCCGTCATTTTGATTTATGTTGAAAACCTACTTTTTCGAACTCCTCCTAGACCATTGGTCAGATTTTCACCAAATTTGACTCAGATCATCTTCAGACCATGCTGGCAAAAAGTTATAGATTTCGTGTCAATAGACAAAACTGTTTTCGTATAGCGCCGCTACAAATTTGAGGCGTGATGCCAAAATTACTCTGAAGCTGCATCTCTGCAAAGCTTTGACTTATTGACACCAAATTTTGTGTGTGCCGTTGTCACCTCACACAGAACACACCACATGTATTTGATAACAGCGCCACCTATTGGTCAAAAGTGATAAGCCAATAAATCATATTACTAGTGGTTGTATTTATGATTTTTCAGCCATTTTGACTAAAATAATCTTAAAATGGTTTTAATTACTCATTGCTGCAGTTGGTCTGGTGTTTGCTTCTGTAGTGCTTGGCCCCGTAATTGCTCCTTGCAGCTATATTTTACATTTATTTTTGCATTTACTTTTGAATAATTTAGCAAGTAAATGTCTGATTTGCTGGGTAGTAGGGCTGTCAAAATGGCTGAAAAACTAAATTCAAATTTTTTACTTAAATATTATCAATATTGAAATTATATTCGAATTTAAAAGGCATCATTTCAGTTAAGCCGGGCTCACACTACAGGATTTTTGGCTGGATTTCGCTGTTGCAGACAGATTTCCACAGTCTGCGACAAAACCCCTGGATCGTGACCAAATCGGTGCTCGTTGCGGTTGCTGAAGCTCGTTAAGTATGAACAGGTCAGCAATGTGATCCGAACCTGTCTCGAACTATCACAGACGGTACGATATTTTCAAACCTGTTTGATATTATCGCCACGTGATCTCGTAATGTGAGCGACACAATGACAAGGTGGAACTAGCCAATCACAGTGCAGATGGTAAACACTCATCATGCATCTTTATGAACAGACACGAAAAGCCACAAATTAATCAAATCAACTAACTAGAAATAAATTTAACAAATGCATAGATTGTGTATATAATACGTTTCATTGTACTGTTTAATTATCTCCAACTCTTGCTGCAGTACTGACAGTCCTTGTTGTCCACGTATTCCAAGCCATTGTTTCTGCCATATTCTCTTTTGTCGTGGTTTCTTCTTTCTTTCGGATAAAATAACTAGGGGTGCGCCGATCCGATATTCAGTATCGGTATCGCTCCGATACTGCCACTTTCTGCTGGATCGGGGTATCGGTCAGACGAGACCGATCCAAATACGATATTGTGCGTATACCAGTGGCATTCCGTCCATATACGCTGTGAATGCTCCGCATACCCAGGCCATTTGAGAGAATAAGTTCACGGGATAATTAATATAAACATGATTATAAGTTGATCCCTTGTCATTTGAAATGTAACTTAAAGCTTAACGAGTTAGGAATAAGTACGTACAATGATTTATTTGCCAAACGGCAGTAATTTTCTTTAAATCTACCAGTTGCGGTTGCTTCAGGGCGAGCGGATTCTCCTCAGCTTTCTGGTCTCAGCTCTGTTGCTATGAGTCGTCAGGATTGATGCGCGTTCTCGGTGATTTGCTGGTCTGCGGGAGATTTAATGCACGAGGTAAGCTGTCCGCAAAGCGCTCGCCCAAGCGGAAAAATGTAGAAAAAAAAAAACACTGTAACTGTATATGTTTGTTTTCTCAAGCAAAGCTAATTTTAAAAGTCCACTGAAAACATATCTTCTTACATTTTTGGTCATAGACAACGTAGGCCTATGTTGAAGATGGTTATTGTCAACGTTATTGCCTAAGCGGTAAATTAAAAATGTGGGCTATATAAAATTTTAAAAATAACAAACATCATATTGTTCCCTTTGAGGGTCTTATCACTCAGCATACCCGGTTAAAAAAGTCACCGCTCACCACTGGCGTATACTATTCTGTTATTGTTAAGCCCCACGAAAGGCACAAAAACATTATAAAGCACCATAAAGTATCCGTGCACTATATTTCAAGTGTTCTGAGACCGTTCCACATTTTAATGTGAGGTACAGATGAATATTTGTCGTTATAAATCGTTAAATTCAAGTTCTCTAAACTTCTCTCCGCTGCGGCTGTCAGTCATCCTCCATTCAGCATTCAAACTGTGTGTCACGTTCTGTTACGACAGTCAAGACGACGAAACTCTCTCTAAGATGATACAATGTTCCTATTATTATACTCGATCTGTAGATAAACATCAGTGGTTTTGCATAAAAGGACTTTATCTTGCTGGAGTTTAGTGCTAATTCTAAATCATGTCACTTTCTACCGGGTGTCTGTTAGAGATCACTACACATCAGTAGAGAGCACTGTAAATTGTTCACGCGTACAGTAACTGAAATTTAAAACTGTTAAAAGAAAAGGCTCAAACTATCACACATATATAATACACTACGCATCAATGTCTCTTCCCTTTGTGCTTTGAACTTTTCTATGCGGGGAGCTGTGCGCTGTGACTCCGTGTTGCTTCAAGCGCATCATCCTGCGCACGGGATGCGCATAAGCGCTTCTGTATTGGAGCTTTTCATGTTATTATACTTTTGCGCAATGAAAGATTGTTAATAGCCTTTCTTGTTCTGTCTTATCTATCATATGTTGCTGCCTCATTATTGTGCTATAAATGTAAAAGAAATGTATTTAATTTATTGCATATATATATATAATTCTATTTAATTGTTTTTCATGAATGTATGTTACAATACAAAGAGAAATGTGTAACATTTTACCAGATTACAGCCATTTACTTTTATCCCCCCCACTAAATAATGTATTTTTTCTAAATGTTTAGATTTTATAAAATTATTGTGAACTCATCATTTTTGTAGATCTACTAACCTAGGTTGTAATAGTATTTTATCATAGATTATGATTATATATTTTTTTATTTGTTATTTTTCTTTATAATTAAGTTCTATACCTCAGTATACACTGAGGTATAGAATAAAAAAACTGTGCTGGTATCGGTATTGTCCTATATTCAGAACTTTGTGTATCGGATCGGTATCGGTTCTGAAAAAATGGTATCGTGCCACCCCTAAAAATAACTGCACAGACCATTTGAAGGGCCAGTTGATCGGCCATGCTTGAAGATATGGCCTATAATCGCTGTAATTTCTCGTGAGAATTTATGTGAGAAAACATATTTTCGCTGATGGTTTGGAACGCCTCTTCACTGAATGTTACAAAACTGAATGTGTGTGAACCTCGTTAGCATTGTGTTGTGTAGTATGCGCGCAGCTATGACAAGACAACGACAGATGAGAACAAATCTTGTTGCGTAGTGTGAGCAACACAGTGATTTGGCTAGCCTTTCAATCCTGTAGTGTGAGCTCGGCTTTAGGGGGAAAAAAAGCTTTTGGCTTCTCTCCTGAGGCCAGAAGAGGGCGCATCGAGCAAAATATTATGCACGTTTCTTCAAAGCATAATAAAATAACACGACTATCTTTGAAAAAAGTGCATAATGTTTAAAATAATGTTTATAAACCATATATAATTAATAAAGTTGCTTAAACAATTAGAAACAAAACAACATCATGCATGTATGTATAGTTTAATACAAAGGACCAAAAACCAATCAAAAAGAGTACTTTCTTTATTTAAAAACTTGAGATGAAGTGGAATGGAGAAAACCCACATAAAGTCTTGAGACATGTTTTTAAAAAGTTGAACTTACATTAATTTTACATAGCTTTCTAAACATGCGGCTCTCTTGTGCGAGATGCGAGTGCAACGGTGATAGATGTCCCTCTAGAAAATGCGATAAATATGCATTCTGTTTGAACGGCTTGGTTTCGGTTTTGACGTAAACAACATCTTCCCCACATTGATTGTTCTCTTTTTCTGAAATATTTTGAATGAACAATGTAGCAGCGCCGCATCTAGTGGGTTCAACTGGATAGGCTAACAAAAACATTAAAATGCAATGACACTTACATCGTCGTCGCATTTCATGCCCCACTGATAAGGTTGCCTGACACACCTAAAATTCGAATGCAACGTTTTTGCATTAGAATGTGGATTTTTATTTTAAATTCGACGAATATTCGACATTCGATAGGTGTATATCTAATTAGCAAAAAAATTTATCTGCAAAGTTTCTAAGAATGCATCTAGTTCCATATTAAGCATATGGGTAATTTACAGTATTAAGAACAAATTAAAAATAAATTGTTGGATCCAAATAGAGGAGTGTGATCAATTCAGTCATCAAAATCTCACTTAAATGGCTGAATAATTCCAAACAAATGCAGTAATTTTGACAGGAACCCAAAAAAGAAGACCATTAATGTTGTGTATCCTTTAATAACAACAGGACTAGTTAACTCACTGTGTTGTGAGAGGGTGTATTATGCCAGAGTGTAATAAGGGTGATAATATATCTGTGCTAAACTTAGGCGTTTATCTCAATCACTGTGAGTGAAAACTTTTCAATTTTTTGAACAAATTTTTTTTTTTTATGCGAGCGATTTACAAGATGGGTGGTTGTATCCATGCAGCACAATAGCTAGGCTTTATTATTTCCAGTTTTTAATAGTACACAGTATAGAGTCACAGATACTCACTCAGTGGGCATGCTTGTCATTACCAAGGATCTATTTTTCTGTAGAGACAAAAAAGAAAAAGGAACTGAAAGATTAGATATTAATTTTGCAGTTCATTTATTTTTTACTAATACACTCAATGTTTTTAATGACATTCAACTAAACTTTTATTATCTCAGACACATGTACTATTGAGCTCCTGTTTTGTTGGAGAGTAGCATAAACTAGTAAACACATGCCGGATATCTGCATATTTGGTGAACGAAGAGGAAATGAAACCAAGGCCATACTGGAGGGGAAGCAGTTGAGAGCCGTTTAAGCACAAAACATCATGGCACCGTTTCATCCGTCCCCTGTACCCTGGCTTCAGTACAACAGATCCGTAGTACAAACACATGAATTGCCTTCCTCTCTATTCCCCTACAGGAAGTTGGGGTTTACATCCATCAGTGAACAGGGCAGCTAAAACAGGTTCATACATAACATGTTTATCAAGATGCTTTCTGACACCATGACACAAATATGTGGCCAGGTGCAAGCAGATATTATGGTCAATAGAAGTTAAAAGACATTGCTCATAAAATATGATGTCAGACTGTTCAAGGAAGACAATTCTGTGCTTGGAAAAAAAACAAAAACAAAAACAAAAAAAAAAAAAAAAAAAAAAAAAAAAAAAACAAAAAAAAAAAAAGAGAATGTTGTAGCTGCATGTACAATACATACAACATACCTGACAATTCACAAGAGGTGAAAAAGGTGACTTTTATGAATTTAATCATTTTAGGGTCTGGGGGCATTATTCATTTGTAAAATGTAAAGCATATCATTGTAACTAATTACAATGTAATTAAATTGCAATCTAATGACTTAATTAGAAATATTATTTACTTTAAGTAAATTTTTTTTACTCAAATGAGTGAAGGTATCCAAAATATAACTTACAACTTTAATGATATATATTAAACAAGTTTATAATGGTTATTACTGATCAATAAATTATATTTTATATTATAAAATTAGCTTACTTGGAATTGAGAAATAGTCTGTATGTTAATTATGGAAATTTATCAAGAACTTCAGTGCAGGTTACATAGTTCATTCATCATTCATTCATTCATGTATTTATTAAGCACCGATAAACACAACAGCAGTTGACCATAGTGCTGTACAAATAGATTAAAAAGCCAGAAAGAAGAAGAAAAAAAAATAATAGTAATAATAATGATAATAATAATAATAAAAACATCAATAAAATCCAGAACAAAAATTTAACATACAAAGTTAAAAAGCCAAGGTAAGAAAATAGGATTTCAACTTCGTTTTAAACTCATAAACAGACTTTAAAGCTTTCACATATGAAGGAAGGTTATTCCATAGCCTCGGTCCAACTATTGCAAATGCACGATCACCTCTTGTCTTTAGCCGTGATCTAGGCTGAGCCAAGGAGAGGTTTATTGTCGATCTCAGACATCTTGTTGGCTTATTTTCTTTTAATAAGTCAAATAAATAAAAGGGTAACCAAAGTATACTTCGGGTTTTAGTTCAGCCAGTAGGTGGCGTAAGGGACTAACGTTACTGCAGCAATTAGCTACCTAAAGCCCAAAGTATACTTTGGTTTTTACGCATACGTGAGGATCCACATAAAGAGTGTGACAAATTTCGTCACCAGAATAGTACACGCATACTGTACGTGCACCATCCGATTTTTTAACTAGCAGTTTGCACATACGCATTGACTTGGTTTTACACTAATCAGTCGTTCCACAAGGTGGCAACACTGGCCCAGGCTGTTGTTTCATAGTAGAAAATGAAACTAAAGAGATGGAACAATAACAACAAAAGCCTGCAACAACAACAGACGGCTGCACTGACAAGTGCTTGAGAGGGTTATGAGATAGCAGCAACTTTAAAATAGTACAAAGACATTTTTTGTTTGTCATAACCTCCGGAGAAAAACAGAGCACACGCTGGACAAAGATGAATTCGCGTACACCTCAAATGGACTATCCTTTGACAGGCTATGCATACGACTTGGACCTTAAGGTTAAGCTAGTTTAAAAGCATTACATTGTAATAACACCCATTGTACTCGCTACATCGTAAGAAGAATGGTTTCTAAGCTAATATTAGTTTCTTTCATTCTTACTCCGAGGTCACCGTAGCCACCCAGAACCAGTCCATATCAAGCCCAGATGGTGGATCAGCACCTAGAGACGACCTCTACAGCCCTGAATGTCAGCAGAGACCATGTCAACTAGACAAGCCCCAGAGACAGATCCCCTGCGAAGACCGCGTCAACTAGACAACCATCGGCACAAGACCACAGGAAAAAGACTAGCCCTCTGCATCTGATATGTGTTGCAGCCTGGGATTAAACTGCTGGTTTCGTTTGGCCAGAGGAGAACTGGCCCCTGACAAAGCCTGGTTTCTCCCAAGGTTTTTTCTCCATTTCTGTCATGGAGTTTTGGTGAAAAATGATTCTTTGTTATTGCCCTCTTGCATTTTTGACAAACTATTTTCCTGTTTGACACTGTAAAGCTGCTTTGACACAATCTGTATTGTATAAAGATCTATATAAAGGTGACTTGAGTTGACATTGTTGGCAGCAATCCTACCTCAGCATTGCTGTAGTGCCCTTATCTTTATTCTGATTAGTCAAAAGATTCGAGGCACTGCACCAAAGATGTTTTACTGGAGAAAAGATTGTGACAGCTCGAGAAACTCTTA